GCTATCTCTATTCAATTGTGGCGGTTGAAGTCGGTGGCAACTGGCAAGCCATCTCTTCCCGTGGATGTTACCTGAGTTCGAGGAGCAACTGGCAAGCCATCTCCCTGAAAACCCCAAAAAAAAAAAAAAAAAAGTAATAAATTCTATTACATGCTACAATGGTGGCAAGGAAAATTGGTAAAATTAACATGATAATGTGAAAGCTTAGGTGGGAAAAATGGCAACCTAAAAGTGATTTCCAAGAAGATGATTAAAGGGGGTTAGAATTTTTGTTTGAATGCCTTGGTTGGTTGAATTTGAATGGAGGGTCATTTTGCTTTTAATAATTTGTTCAAAGCATAGAATTATGGTTAACTTTTTCTTTCTTTCAACGTTCAATTATACTACATTTGTCTTTATGAATCATACAGGGAGTTATTTGAAATACTACATGCGATGAGTCTGATGACCCACAGAATTATGGCTTCTTTTCTTCTTATAACTTCTAGGGTACATGATTTCTTACAATAAAAAAAAAAAAAAGATACATAATTTCTTTTTTGGTGCAATTGAAAACTTCATTTAGTAATAATAAAATAAAGATACATAACTAATCAGTTTCTATTATAAGAGAAATAAGAAACACAAAATAAAAGAGTAACATTAAAAGGTACAAAATATTTCTTTATATATGTATTATACTTGATAAATGTATCAATCATTTTATTTATTTTTTGATATATAAATGACCAATAAAATTGTAATTTTTCCTTTTTTTTCTTCATAACTTCTAGGATATATATTAACCCAGTAAAAAGTGAAGAGAGAGAAAATCAGTTGAATTCTCTCTCTCTCTCTCTCTCTCTCTCTCTCATTGAATTTCTTCAATCCTCAATTTGAGATATGATAGATAGGACTCAGAGTTTATCTACATTAGTCCAGTAAAAGAATTACTAGTTATAACTTGCAAATCCAGAAAAAAGGAGAGGGAAATCTTTGGGATCTGATGACAGTGAACTTAGTAAAAGTGGATATGGTTTTGGAATACAACCTTTTATGCAATTATGCAACCAATCAAAAGCACTGTCTCCCCTTAAAAAAGAAAAAAAAAAAGAAAAAGAAGGAAAGAAGGAAAGAAGGAAAGAAGGGAAAGCAATCAAAAACACTTTTTGATCTAACCACAGCTGAATCTAATGATTTCAGCAACAACCAAAAGATCCAAAGCATAAAGCTAACAGCCCATTTGTTTTCCTTTTTCTCTCTTTTTCTTTTCCTTTTTTTTCTTTATAAGGATTTTGCTTTTGGTTTCCAACTATGGTGATTCCCAACTAAACCAAATCAGCCTTAGCCAGCAGATTTATCTGTAATGCCTCTGTATTTGCATGTGCCACTGAAAAACTTGGGGAAAAAACAAAAAAACAAAAAAAAAAAATAATAATAATATTTTTGTTTTCTAAACAGCCCAACTCTCTTCATAGTGGACTTTCTTAAGGCCTTCAAGAGAAGAATAGCCCAGAGTTATGGAAATTTTGGCCCATCCTTTGTTGGACTTCAAAAGCTCTCATAAACTGTAAGGTCCACAAGCAAACAAGGGCCTTCTTCCTGAGAATCAGGCCCAAATCACAAACCAGGTCTAACTTCGGAGCTCCGATTCTTTGCTCCGAGATCCACCTGCTTGATACAACTTTACAGGAGCACAGTCCAAAGCCCTCTTCTTCCTGTCTTGTCTTGAACAAGAAGAAAAGCAGAAAACCCTCTTAAATACTCCAATTCGAAGAGAAGAGGTACATAGGAAGTGCCGGTAATTTGCAGTTCATCAGGCAGAGGGATACAATCGAACGGAGACGTAGAAGAGAATGTTCAGGAACCAGTACGATACCGACGTGACAACATGGAGCCCGGCGGGCCGATTATTCCAAGTGGAGTACGCGATGGAGGCGGTGAAGCAGGGGTCTGCGGCGATTGGACTCCGATCCAAAACCCATGTGGTGCTGGGTTGTGTTAACAAGGCTAATTCTGAGTTGTCTTCTCACCAGAAGAAGATCTTCAAGGTCGACGACCACATCGGGGTCGCCATCGCTGGTCTCACTGCCGATGGTCGTGTGCTCTCTCGGTACATGCGAAATGAATGCATCAATTACAGTTTCACCTACGAGTCGCCTCTTCCTGTAGGGAGGCTCGTTGTGCAGCTTGCAGACAAGGCTCAGGTTTTTGCAAAAAAAATTCCAATCTTTCTTGTTTCTGTGATTGTTTTTTCACTGAATTGCACTTTTATTAGATTTTGGGTTTAGTTTAATTACTGGGTTAATTTGATCTCTGGAATTTTAGGAAATAGAAGGTGATTTGAGGTTTATACTCTAAACAACTCTGAAAATATTCTTAAGTTTTGTTGACATAGAATCTTTCAAGCAGTCCGCTTTGCCTTTGTCACTTTTGTTTCCCCTGTGAATTACAAAACCATGATGGGGAAGGCGAAGCAGGCGTAGATTCCAATGCTTGGTTTTTCTGTGTTGCTAAATGACCCTTTTCTGGGTTATTGAAGTAGTCTCTTGAAGTATCTTGCTTGAATGAATTATAGACTATTATCATGCATCTTATACCTGTTTCTTTACTTTATTGTGCCGGTTCTAACACTGTTAAGCCTGGGTCTATTCATGAGAATGCGTGCCTAATTTAGATATCATTAAGTTCTGGGAATAACTGACAGTTCAAGACTAGTTTGTACACTCTACATCAAAGTCAAGTTGTTCAATGTGACATTCCGTAATTTTCAACTTTTAATTACAAGATTGACTGAATAATTCCATTATGTACCATGGAGATTATCCGACTAAGAGGGATTTGGAAGTAGGAATGGTTGCTAAATACTTTGGAATATTGGGGGTTAAAGATTTATCTAATAACTTTATATTTTTTTCCCTAATTATTTATGCTAAGATTGCTTTAATATTAACGTTTAACTATTTTCTGTAGCATTTTGGCCCATAAAAATGCTATATTCTAGAGTTACATTTTCACGCTTTTATATTTATTTGAAATTGTAAAAGCCTTCTATTTTTGTAGTGATACTTAATAATGAGAATCTGGTGATGTGATTGAACTTAATTGAGATTCTGAGAATAGCCCTTTTTTTTGTTTTTTTATATCTTATGGAGAATCTGGTGAATAGAGAACATTGCATTCCTTTCGGAGTTGAGAAATCATTGCATATGGTTTGGTTTTGGGAAAAGTAGGAGCAACAGCAGATTGCCTATGTTATTGTCAAAGTAAAATTTCCTCTTTTGTTTTTAACCTTTTATCAACTAAATGAATAGTAGTTGATACAGGGCAGCTATATGTTTGTTATTTTAATTGCACCCAGTATTTACACTATATATTTGTGTCTGCAAGTGAAAAAGAGATATGCTTCTGTTTGGGTGGCAGGTTTGCACTCAACGATCATGGAAACGGCCTTATGGTGTTGGTCTATTGGTAGCTGGTTTAGATGAATCTGGAGCTCACCTCTACTACAACTGCCCAAGTGGGAACTACTTTGAGTATCAGGCCTTTGCTATTGGGTCTCGTTCCCAAGCTGCAAAGACATATTTGGAACGCAGGTTTGATAACTTTATGGACTCTTCCAGGGAAGATCTAATTAAAGATGCACTCATGGCAATAAGGGAGACCCTACAAGGAGAAACTCTCAAAAGTTCAATATGCACGGTGGCGGTGGTGGGGGTTGGAGAGTCGTTCCACATTTTGGATCAGGGAACTGTACAACAAATGATTGATGCATTCGATATTGCAGGAGAGCAAGAGGCTCCTGCTCCGGAACCAGATGCTGATGCGGAACAGGGGGCTGCAGCCGAGCCTGGTGCTGGTGCTGATCAGGTTGGTGCTGTTGATGAAGGTGTGGCTCCAATGGATATTTGAGTATGCAAGAACAGTGGGTGCCTCTCCTTTCTTGCCTTTAGACCAGATTTTATAACATGTGTTGCAGAATTGTGTTAGGCATAACTATGCATTTTTCTGTTGGAACCTTTTCTTGTGCTCTTTCGTGCAAAGCCTTATCAATGCAAACATTTAGTGCTAGCCTCTGTTGAAACCCGAATCTCCATTTGCAATTATACTCATGGAGGAATCAATTTGTCTTTGGGTATGTTTGACCTGATTATGTTTGATACTGCTTTAATCAAATTTGTTGCATGTCTTTTGGAAGATTGAACCGGATACCTTCCTAAAAATAAGCATGCCGTGTGGAATGCATGAAAATTTGCATCAGAACAAAGTATAAGCCCATCAAACAGACAATCACAGAGACGATTTTATCTGCTTTTAAGATAATGGCGAATCTTTCCTCTGATTTGCCCATCAGTTAGTCGGGTTTTTTGTTCTCCGCTCTCTTATTTTTTGTCAAGGGATCAAGCAAAGGGTGAGGTAAAAAATGAGGGGCAAAAGTAAACTGTGCAAGGCCGGCTTCATAACATGACCGGCAATCTGAGTTTGGTCTGCGAGTGCAATAGTAGAGTTGTATCGTTCATGTGTAAGTTAATCTTGTCATGGTTCCCATTTATGCATTTATAAACAGACTGATATTCCATCTTTTTCTGTTGACATTTTCTTCTCTTTTTGTGGTATGCATGTGGTAATCTGAGTTCTGAGATGATAGGGTAGAGTTGTCCAGTTTGGTCTGGTGGGATTATTATATGTCTGCTTAGGGAGCGACACTGTGACAGTCTACCCATAGTAACTTCACAACGATAACAAATGCTGTCTCCTCAGAGTTTCATATTGAAAAATTTTAAGACAACTTGAGGTTTTTGCCAATGGCAACACATTCTAAGACATTCAAGCCTTAAGACGGGTGTTTCTAAAGAATAAATTTAGTTGCTAGCACAGCAGATGTTCATGTTTCCATAGTGATATTGGTGGTCGTGTACAAAACAAAAGTCACTCTGGCCCCAAAATGCAACAAAGCTGCCCCTTCCTTGATGAATGAGAGCAATAGATGTTAAAACACTCGCTGCAAAGCAGGAGAAATCAGTTCCAGATATCAGAAACCTGAAGTCCCTTGACCTGCATCTGCTCGTACATCCATTCCCAATTCTCGGGGGTCACCTCACCCCCAAGAGAACGAATAACAGATCCACCGGTACATGAACCCACCTCACAACATTCCTCTAGAGATAATCCCTTGACTAATCCGTACAGAAAACCACAGGCAAACAGGTCCCCAGCTCCAGTGGCATCAACTGGCCTTGCCTCCCCTATAGCTGGAACTCGGACTACCTGATACAGTACGGGTATTTTAGTTGATACATTTTCCTTGAGTTTAGACATTATATCCAGGTTAAAAATGAAAACTGCTTATATTAGGCAAAGGCATTTCTAAACAAATGCATTTATAAGTCAAAATCATTACAAGATCTGACTGTTACAAACCTCTGTTCCATGTTTTGCAATGCAACCATTGGCCCCTAATGTCACCACAGCCCACCGGCAGTGTTTGGCTAGAAATTCCAGTGCAGCCTCAGGGTCAGCATTCTGTTCACCCCTACAACAGTTAAGAGAGAGTTACTGCATTCTACCACCAGAGATTGCACCAACCGCTGAAATTAACAATACAAAGAGAGTAAAGAATATAACAAAAATGACAGCCACCTTAGAAGCTCTGTTGCTTCATCCTCATTGGCAAAGCATAGATCTATATCCCCTGATTCCAGTAACTGAAGAAGAGGCAATCTAAAATTCCGAACCATCTGGACAAAGACAAAGACTGGATAAGATAAAATCTCTGATGTTGAGAAGCACAGCAAAGAGAGAAGGGGGGAGCAAGGTGGGTTAAACCATACCTCAAAGCTAGCCAAATCCAATGATATAGAAAGGCCCTCTTGTTTGGCAATCCTTATTGCTGCTTGAATAACTTCCAAATTGAATTTAGCATATCTCAATACCAACCACTGCAATTCATTTATATCATTAAAAGCTATTACCTAGAATAAGTGACAACATGATTCATATACAAAGAGCTGTAAATTTGGACAAAACCAACTAACAACCACTATACAAAATGAATGATGTAAATGTTAATCTGCAGCATAAAACCATACGGGAACTGCAATCCAATCCTATAGTTACATTTTTTATGCATAGTTCAAGAAGTTTCCAGGGGGCTCATAACTAATTGCAAAATAGACTAGAAGATAAAAAACAAGGGAGCCGATAATGCCTAACCTTAGAGCCATTGAAGTCCTCTCTGGTTAATTCATTGGCCTGAAAAGTAACAAGTAAATAAGATCTCTTGTAAGCTCATTTTCAGTAAGAAGACTGCAAATATCCTTCACAATAAATTGATAAAGAGACTTGGTTAATGCCTAAAATCTGTCAAAGATATTTACCTGAACTTTTACAGCATTTGACAGACATGGCCGCATTGTACGATTGCCCAATGCATCGACCAGGCAAACACACTGCGCCATAACCATTAACAAAGTTACACCAGCTGCATTTAAAGTTCAATTTAATTTCACATGATTTCTATAAGATCACCTGGCCTGTTGGTCCCTCCTTCATCCTCAATCTTGAAATGTCCACCCGACTAATGCTCATATTCCTGACAAATAACTGGCCTTCCTTATTATTCCCATAAGCCCCAATCATACCAGTGGCGACCCCAAAGCCCACACTAAGTCCTCGAATAGTATTGGCAACACTTCCCCCCGCCATGGTCTTCATAGGAGATGAATCCCCAGGGGTAGAGAGGATGTGCTTTTTGAGCTCACCTAATATATGCTCAAGCTCCTCAACTCCTACCTACACAAACATATAGGACGCAAGAACCATAATTAAGAACACAACCTCTCCACCAAATCTCATGACCATCAGCATATTTATCAACATAAGAAAGCAGTTCAATTTCGCAGTTTAGTCCTAAATGCCATTACTATTTTAAGGGCAAGGGTTAGGAACAAATATAACATACAAACATTAAAAAAGAAAAAAAAAAAAGCCAAAAGAAAGAACTTGCATAAAAAGGACCTAGGAGTTTGGTATTCGAATTAACAAACATAAGCAAGTGTAATAAACAGAGAATGTGAGCATCCCAAAGCAGGTTCCACTTGAGTCTATACCCAGAACCCGTTCAAAAAAATGTCTTGATATGGTAAAAAAAGGGAAAAGATGTACTACCCAAGACCCAGAAAACTCTATTTTTAACAAAGCCATAAATCTGAGCGCACAGGCATCAAGAAATTTAAAAAGGGAGAACCGCAAGCATGCACTCACACCCAGGAAGGAAATCCAGAAATTATGCATAAAGTTGACTTAAAACGAAGAACTTTTTACTTGGAAAAGCAAATTCAAACAAATTAGCATGCATCAGTGAGCAGAAAGAACCAAATTTTACAATCAAAAGAAAAAAAAAGAGACAAATTTCAGCAATGGAATTACGGAAAGTGATTAACAGAAAAGAAAAAAAAAAAAAAAAAAGAGTGATACCGGAATGGAGCCTCCACGCTCACCGGGGATTTGATCGAGCAAGGACAAATCGACGTGGGTCACATGGTCGATAAGGGCAGCCGGTTGGAGCCCCAATATGAGAGGAGCAGATGGAGGCAGAAAGCGAGCCTCCCCGTTACCCTGCAAGGATTCTGCTCCCATTCCTTGTATTTAGCAAATCCCTCTCGCGCCCTTACCCTCCTCAATGCTCCTTCCTTGCAATGCGATGTATTTATAGGCGCAAGAACGCAGCCCTGCAGCGTGGCGCTTGCAGGAGCCAAGTTCCAGTCGCCCAATTCAATAAAATTAAAATGCAATTATTTTTAGGTTAAATACCCAATTTGGTCCCTAAACTTTCATTTCTGAACTTAGTTCGTCCTTTAACTTCAAAAGGGACCCAAATCGTCCTTAAAGTTTATTTTCCCATAACTAAATTGGCCCTTCCGTGACGGAAGTGCCCACCTGGCACGTTAAGTCTCCACAATTTAGTTTTTTTTTTTTTAATTTTTAAATGCTTAGTTACAACCCACAAAGTCAAAATCAAGAATCCATTTCCATTTTCAATACTCCAAATCCATTTTGCTCTCTCCATTTACCCACCTCGCTCCGCACCCTGCTTTCTTCTTCTAGATTCCATCTCATTCCGTACTACGCTTCGTTGGTCTCAAGGCCGACAGCATTGAAAACCCTTGCAAGTACAGCGGTTTCGAAGGGACTTCTGTTGTCGACACGAAATCAAGGGGTTTGGGTGCAGAATGAAGGCGACGGTCGCAGACACAAGGATGGTGATAGAGAAAAGTGAAGGGAAGATGGTGAGCGTCTTTGATTCGGAGGAGGATCTGGCGATGGCCCTCGTGAAATACACCTCCGACCTATCTGACAAGGTCTCTAAAA